GGCATGCATTCTAAATACCCCTTTCCCTAGTCTGCCTTCCCTTCTATCTCTCCCCCTCTTCTCTTATTCCCTTCCCCTTCTATTTTCCTGTAGGGCAGGATGGATTTCTGTACCCCATTTCCTGTATTTCTTATTTCCCAGTTGCATGTGAAAACATTTTTTTTAAACATGTGTTTTTAAAATTTTGTGTTCCAAATTTTCTCCCTTCCTCCCTCTCTACCCACCCTCATTGATAAGGCAAGCAACTCAATACAGGTTATATATGTGCAGTTTTGCAAAACACTTCCATAGTAGTTTGACCCTGTTCCTCCTCAGAAGTATTTGCTTCTGATTACTCCCTTTCCCAATCTGCCCTCCTCTCTATCATTCCCTTACTCTCTTGTCCCCTTCCCCCCCCCGCTATTTTCCTGTAGGGTAAGACAGATTTCCACACCCAATTGAGTGTGTATGTTATTCCCTCCTTAGGTCAAATCCTATGAGAATAAGATTCACTCATTCCCTCTCACCTCCACTGTAAGAGCCTTTTCTTTTCTGTTTATTTTTTTTGTGGGATAATTTACCCCATTCTACCTCTCCCTTTCTCCTTCTCCTAGTATATTCCTCTCTCAGCCCTTAATTTTATTCTCCAGATATGACCCCTTCATTTTCAACTCACCCTGTGCCCTCTATCTATCTATCTATATCTATATATACGTACATATAATTTTTTCCCCTCCAACTACCCTAATACTGACAAAAGTCTCATGAGTTACAAATATCATCTTTCCATGCAGGGATGTAAACAGTTCAACCTTAATAAGTCTCTTATGATTTTCTCTTTCCTGTTTACCTCTTCATGTTCCACTCGAGTCTTGTATTGGAAAATCAAATTTTCTATTCAACTCTGGTCTTTTCATCAAGAAAGCTTGAAAGTCCTCTATTTCACTGAATGACCATTTTTTCCCCTGCAGGATTATACTGTTTTGCTGGGTAGGTGATTCTTGGTTGTAATCCTATTTCCTTTGCTCTCTGGAGTATTATATTCCATGCCCTGTGGTCCCTTAATGTAGAAGGTGCTAAATCTTGTGTTATCCTGATTGTGTTTCCACAATACTTGAATTATTTCTTTCTGGCTGCTGGTAATATTTTCTCCTTGACCTGGGAACTCTGGAATTTGGCTACAATATTCCGAGGAGTTTTCCTTTGGGGATCTCTTTCAGGAGGAGATTGGTGGATTCTTTCCATTTCTATTTTGCCCTCTGGTTCTAAAATATCAGGACAGTTTTCCTTGATAATTTCTTGAAAGATGATGTCTAGGCTCTTTTTTTGATCATGGCTTTCAGATAGTCCAATAATTTTTAAATTCTCTCTCCTGGATCTATTTTCCAGGTCAGTTGTTTTTCCAATGAGATATTTCACATTGTTTTCTAATTTTTCATTCTTTTGGATTTGTTTTACAGTGTCTTGATTTCTCATAAAGTCGCTAGCTTCCAATTGCTCTATTCTAATTTTTAAGGAAGTATTTTCTTCAGTAAGCTTTTGGACTTCCTTTTCCATTTGTCCAATTTTGCTTTATAGGGCATTCTTCTGTTCATTGGCTTTTTGGACCTCTTTTGCCATTTGGGATAGGCTATTTTTTAAGGTGTTATTTTCTTCAGTGTTTTTTTGGGTCTCCTTTAGCAAGCTGTTGGCTTGTTTTTCATGATTTTCTTGCATCACTCTCAGTTTTCCCTCTACTTCTCTTACTTGCTTCTCAAAATCCCTTTTGAGCTCTTCCAAGGCCTGGGACTGATTCATATTTTTCTTGGAGGCTTTGGATGTAGGAGCTTTGACTTTGTTGTCTTCTTCTGGTTGTGTGTTTTGATCTTCTTTGTCACCAAAGTAAGATAATATAGTCTGACTCTTTTTTCGCTGCTTACTCACGATCCCGGCCAATTACTTGAGTTTTAAACTCTTTGTTAAGGTAAGAGTCTGCTTCCAATGTGGAGAGTTTACTGTCCCAAGCTTCGGGGGTTTGTACAACTGTTTTCAGAGATACTTCTAGGGACCTGTAAATTTTTATGATAAGGGACGAGGTATTTCCTCTCCACCACCACAACAAGCTCCACCACGCCAGTGCTCCTCCTCACCCCAGGACTGCCCCTAAGAACTGTGACCCAGATCCAAGCACAGGCAAAGCAAGAGATTCCTGCCTCAGCACTGGCAAAGAGATCCCTGCAATCCCCCTCTGATCAGCCACTGGATTCCCCCTCAGTCTGTGGGCTGGAAGCTCAGGAAAAAGCCACGGCCCTGTGCACTCAAGACTTGCGGCTGAGACCTAGCTCCTCTCTCACCAAAGTCACAGACTTTTCCCACTGACCTTCTAAGTTGTCTTTGGCATTCAGGGGTTGAGAAGTCTGGAAACTGCCACAGCTACCTGTGATTCAGCCCTCTGAGGCCTGCTCCAGGTTCTCTGAGGCCTGTGTGCCCACGCTGCACTGCGCTCCTCTCCCAGCCCGGCATGATATACCTTTCTGATCAGTCATCCAGGCTGTCTTGGGCTGGAAATTTGTTTCACTCTGTCTTTTTGTGGGTTCTGCTGCTTTAGAATTTGTTTAGAGCCATTTTTGTAGGTATTTGGAGGGCTTTGGGAGAGAGCTCAAGACAGTCACTGCTTTCCCTCTGCCATCTTGGCTCCGCCCCCTGGATATGCCATTCTGTATTATGATTTAACCATGTTACAAGGCAAATTTCTTTTCAGTTCTGTGATTCTCTGTGTCTACAATGGTAGCCTATAGTTTTATAGTCATTTGAGCAGAGTTCTAAAACTCCACTAATTTATGTATATAATATATATTTAATAAATACACACTTGTATATATGTTTATGCATATATCTATCTCTTACTGCTTTGGGCTCTACAGGTCATTTATAAAGTGATTGCATTATCAAATTATTTTCAATAGCTCAATCATATTTGTTATTTAGTGTGCTTAATTGAGTTTAAATTTGCCTGAAGCATTGATTTCATATTTGTATCTCAATGCAAAAATAAATTCACCAGAGTGAAAAATTTAACTTCAAAGGACAGGCTTAGAAACTTGCCTGTGAGTAGAAATCCCTTTAAAAATCCTTCAGAACATATTAACTTACCACCTTAGAGCAGATGGTTTCTCTGTCATCATTGTGAGTAAATGGCTTAAAGGAATTGTGGGATTCATAAATGTCAGAAGGGCCTGCATGTTATGTTAGTAGCCCTACTGAGGTATATGCATGACTAAAAATGCCAATTTTACATAATCTAAACCAGAAAGATTAAAAGAGTTTTTCACTGCAGTTGAACTAATCACCATTAGTACTAAGGTTTCAATAGCCAAGTTAGTCATGTCTATTGTTTTTTAAAATTTATTTATTTCACCATTAATTTTTTTAAAAATTGAGTTCCAAAATTTCTCTGTCCCTCTTGCAAATGATATGATAGGAATTATGTATGTGAAGTCATGAAAAATATATTTGCATAGTATCCATGTTGCAAAAACAACCACAACAGCAATAACAAGAAGCAAGAAACATAAAGAAAATTTAAAAAAAGGATTCTTCAGTCTGTTCATCAGTTCTCACTCTGGATGTAGATATCATTTTTCATCATGGATCCTTTGGAGTTATCTTAGATCATTGTAGTGATCAGAGTAGCTATGTCGTTCACAGCTCATCATCAACAATAATATTATTGTTACTGTATACAATGTTCTCGTGGTTCTGCTCATTCACTTTGTATCAGTTAATATAAGTCTCAGGTTTTTCGGAAACCATTACTCTCATCATTTGTTATACCACAATAGTATTCCATTATATTCATATACCACAACTTGTTTAGGTATTCCCTAACTGATTGACATCCTCTCAATTTCCAATTCTTTCCCCCTACAAAAAGAGCTGCTATAAATATTTTTGTACAAATAGCTCCTTTTCCCTTTTCTTTGATATCTTTGTGATACAGACCTAGTAGTGGCATTAATGGATCAAAGAATATGCCCAGTTTTATCACCCTTTGGGCAAAGTTCCAAACTGTTCTCCAGAATGTTTGGACCAGTTCACAACTCCACCAACAATGCATTAGTGTACTTATTTTTCCATATTCCCTCCAGCATTTGTCATTTTCCTTTTCTGTCATGTTAGCTAATCTGAGAGGCATGAGGTGGTATCTCAGAGTTTTAATTTGCATTTCTCTAATTTGTAGTGATTTAGAATATTTTTTCATTTGAGTATTGATAGCTTTGATTTCTTCTGAAAATTGCCTGCTCATATCCTTTGACCATTTATCAGTTGGAGAATGGCTCTTATTTTTATAAATTTGACTCAGTTCACTATACAGTTAAAAAATGAGGCCTTTCTCTGAGAAATTTGATATAATTTTTTTTATCCCAGTTTCCACTTTCCTTCAAATTTTGACTGCACTGTTTTGTTTGAGCAAAAACTTTTAAATTTCATGTAATCAAAATTATCCATGTTATTTCCTGTGATTCTATTCCTTGTTTGGTCTTAGGTATGTATATTGTTAATAATCATGTGTATTTAATTGGTTCTAGAATTTTTAAAATATATAATTCAAATGGACATTTTTACTGTATTTGGTCTTTTTAAATATAGGAAGTGTAATTTGAAGATAAATGAATTTTACTGGAAGTGCTTTGTGTCTTTTGGTTAACATACTTGCTTTTTGTATAAAACATATATGATGTGTTATTTAGCGCTTAAAAAATACCTTAGGATCAAACATTAGTATTCTCTCAAAATTGTCTTCCCCTTCTGTTTTCATATTAAAAGAATCAAATATAATTTGAAGACTCAAACAATATCCATATTCTAAATGAATGTCACCAGCTTTTATTTATAATTGGCTCTTAAATAAAATATATTATTTTAAAATTTTGGTTTGTCAGTAAGCAAATTTAATCAAAGTATAATAATTTATGAACTGGTAACATTCTGTTATATTAAGATTAACTGATATTTCTTTTTTATCTTTTTTTTCCTAACAGGTGTCTGCTTCAGAATGGTAAGTCAGTACACAGTTTTTTTTCCCCTCCCTGTTTTTACAAATACTAATGTTCTGGTGACAGAACATTATACTCTTCTATTAGTGTTCAAAATCAGAAAGTTTCACTACATGTTTCTTTGACAGCCTGTAGCATTTAACTAATATACTTTGTCTCTGGACTATTCTCGTTGTACATAAATACAGAATGTTAAGATTAAAATAGACTCTTCAAAAATAATTTTTCTCCTCAGAGTTTTGTTATGATTTAGAAACATTAAAATATTCCCAATAGTAACAAATATTATGGGTATTTTTTTATCCTTGCTGTGAATTTCAAGATGTGCTTTATACTTATAGCAGATTCTCTTTAAAAATTTAGTTTTAAATATCAAACATGAAATGTGACTTTTTTCACTTTGACTGGATAATGAATGTAAACAGTGCAAGATCACTGAGGAAAAAAATAAACCCTCTGAACAAAGCGTGAATCTTGTAAAACCAAGAATAATGTTTCAGGGATTTCTCTCTCTTCTGGAGTTGGGTTATAGCATTCTGTTGTTTGAGTTACAAACTTTCAAAAAGTTCTGTATGCCATATATTTTTAGATAAGATATATGTAATATAGATATATATACATACATATATTATAACACAATATTGTATGTGTGTATACATGTATGTATGTAAATATATACACACAAATATATCTTAATTTTTTATTTTTAAATTAAGAGATCATCAAGTATGAACACTTGCACAGACAAATAATATAGAAAAGAAGATTGTATAAGAAAATGTTAATATTATGTATAACTTGTTTTTTAAGTATATATTAAATTTAATATGATAGCATCAACACTATCCTGCTTCTCTGTGTCTCCTTCTGAAATTCTTCATACTCTCTTCTGTTTATTTTTAAACTACTATGGCCAAATACCCGCTTCTCCCAAATAAAAGTTATCCCTTGTAACTATTAAGTATAGTCAAACAAAACAGTTCCTCAGTCCCTATTCTTACCCCAGATTTTCCAGTTTCTTCTTTACCACTATCCCATGTTAATATCCTTGCATTGAAATCACTGAATATCAAAATACATAATGGTTTCATTTGGAGGGCTTTAATGACATTCTTAAAATTTCTCTCCTCTTGATCTTCTGCAACTAGTGGTTGGTGCATAGCCTACATTTTCATGGTAGTCTTTTTGCACATATTTAGTTGAATGTTTCAGTATGAGTTTACCAAGTGTCCTACAAAATAATGATTCTTGTCGTCTTTGAAATAAAATAAAACCAAATTTACTGATTCTTTTATATCCCTTGTGAGTCATTTTTCCTTTTTTCTGCTATTTCCTTTTTTCTTCCAATTTCTAATTTTCTGAATTTCTAATGATAATGTCGAGATTGATAACAGTTCAGTACTTCAGTAGTATGTCCACTCATTGTTGTTTGGTTATTTCAGTTGTGTCCTACTCTTTGTGACTCCATTTGGGGTTTTCTTGGCAAAGATACTAGAGTGGTTTGCCATTTCTTCCTCCAGCTCATTTTACAGATGAGGAATTGAGGCAAACAGGGTTAAGTGATTTGCCCAGGATTACATAGCTAGTAAATGGCCAAGGCAGGATTTGAACTCATGAAGATGAATTTTCCAGATTCCAAGCCTGGTGCTCTATCCACTGTGCCAACTAGCTGCCTCATGTCCACTCATTGGTCATTTACATTTAAAATACCAGTAGTGAGTCTAATTTTATTATGAATTAGTCCATATACCACCATCTTTTCCACAAGAATATTGTGACTTTGCCAAATGCATTGCTAAGTAAACTACATCTATAATAGTGGAGAGATTACAAATGTTCCCTTTGTAACAGAGAATTTTTAAAAAAAATTCTACTTTCATATTAGATTAAAATCTAGCATTCCCCTTTATTCTGCCTCAGTGGAGATAGAAAACAGCTGGTCACTATTTTCATAGAGCTAAAGATATTAATTTTTCATTCTTTCCTGCAGACTGAAAAATTCTAGTTTCTAACTTGTTCTCATAGCTACTATTTTCCAGCACATGTTGTAAATTTAAATGGTAACAAGGGGGAAATTATTAAAGTCCAAATCCCCTTTCTCCCTTCTGCACATACCCATTTTATAGCCGTCTCTAGTTAGAAAGCAGTGAACTTTTGCACCCATTTAAATACCAGAAAAAGGTATTCCAATGTGTTAATAAAGTTATGGCTATATTAGGTATTAATAGAGGAAAAAGGTATTATATATACTGCATGGAAACAATCTTTATATGGTTTCTCTTGGAAGCATAATTGATTTCTACTTGAACTTGATTTTAGGCAATTTGAGAGGAATTAACATTTAGATCCTATAAAACAAAATATTGTAGGGAATAAATTTTTGCAGTTGGTATTGTTGTTTTGTTGTCTTGTTTTTCAAAATATCATTAAACTCTTTAGGAATATTTTACCTTTTCTCTTATGTCAGTGCTAGAGAAATGTTTATTGAATTTAGTTGAATATTGTATCCCTATTCTATTCATATGATTTCCTTTCCTTGTTTGTGTGTTTTCTTCTTTGCAACACTACCCAGTGCCATAGAAGGTATTTAATAATTTCAGGCATTCAGTAATTTTTAAAATGTTGATGACGACCATGTCCTTGACAGAGGGGTCAGGAAGAAGATGAAGAACCAACGCAGGAGATATAGTTAATGTGGTGGTATCTCTGGAACAAAGATAGGACAGAATTTCAAGTAGGAGAGGCTGGTCAACAGTGTCAGAAGACATAGACACTTCAAAGAGCATGAAGACTGAAAAAAGACTGTTGGATTTTGTGATTAGGAGGTCATAAGTGACCATTGCTAAAGCCATTTCAATAGAGTTATGGCAGTGGACCTAATTGGAAGGAGTTGAAGAAAGTAGTCAGGAAGTTGAGGCATAAGGTGTAGGACATTTTTTTTTTTCAACAAGTTTGATACTGAAGGGAGAAAGAGAGAGAACAATTCTTTACAGGTCTATAGGATCTTTGCTATAGAACTTTTGTTGGTTTGTATCAGTTTATTTAGTTAGGAATGTTATGGAACTAATGCCCTGCATTACCTTGAACTCTAAATAGGATACTATGTTATTCTTTTTTTGTCTTTTTACTATTTATTCCCCATTGCCACTTCAAGACTCAATCTCTGCTATTGGAACTTAGCAACCTTTCTTTTTTTCTTTCTTTTTCTTTGTATTTATTTAATATTTTATTTTTCCCCAGTTACATATAAAAACAATTTTTAACATTTGTTTTTTAAAACTTTGAGGTCCAAATTCTCTCCCTTCTCTCCCCACTTGCCCTCATTGAGAAGGCAAGCAATTCGATACAGGTTATACATGTGTAGTCATGCAAAACATATCCATAATAGTCATATTGGAACACAATGTTTTTCAAAAGTTATTGAACCTTAACTTCTGCCTTCTCTCCATACAAGTTAAAATTATACTCCAGATCCAATTATTAAGATGCAAGGATAATGGAATACAATGATCACCAGTGAATTGTTCAGTTATCACATTTTTCTAGTCTCTCCCATCTTCCAGTCGTATTCTACCAAACTGCCAGATTGATAACCCTAAAAAAAATCTGACCATATTAATCCTCTACTGGAAAATCTTGAGCAGGCAGAGATGCACGTTGTCTACTATGCCTTTTTTGCCAGTCCAGAAACGAGAAAATGTCAGAATAGCATCCTAGTATGGTAATGCCCCAAGCCACTAAGTTGCTAAGCAATCAATAGTTGATAACATTTAAAATATATGTATATACACATATACATATATATTAATTTACTTTCCTGCCTTGGTAGGCAGTGTATACTGAACATTAGCTTTCTTTGAGGATCTTGTAGTACCTCCAAATTGTCCTTCTGAATGTGAAGGATCATTATCTGGTAATATAAATGTAATTTGTAATATGAAGCTGGATATGTATTTATTCTAGAAATAGCATTGAAGTTACTTTTCAAATAAATTCCTAATTACCTTATTTGGAGGCAGAGGAACAAAGGGAAGGAACTCTGGAGACAGAATTTTAAATCCCAATTATGATGCTTACTACCTGTGAGACCTAGGATAAGTCACTTAACTCCCCTGGCTTTCAGTTCTTTCTCCTGTAAAATGTTAGACTAGAGAGCACCTGAGAGCCCTGCCAGCTTTAGATGGAATCCAGAACAAATACCAAGTTTTACCGTAGTTGAGATATGCAATGTTCAGCATTATATACCTTAAGAAAAGAAATGACAATCCTTGAGTTAGTGTTCTTTGAATTTTTAGAGCCAAATTTACTATGAATCTAGGCTTTTGATGCCAAGTGGACTGTCCTTCTGTCTCTTGTTTTCCTGTTCGTGTAGTACACAGAAGATGAAGCTAAGAAGATGGGAGTTGTTGGGTGGGTTAAGAATACTCGCCAAGGAACGGTAAAAGGCCAAGTTCAAGGTCCTGAAGATAAAGTCAACTCCATGTAAGTAATCAAATATCTTCAATACTTACCACTTGAAATAGCAAGATTAATAAAGGAAAATATAAAGGCAGTCAGTGAAATGTTTAAAGGTATTTATTTCCAAAAATTAAAAGTTAGTCTTTTCCTAAAAACTTGTCACGTTGTCAGAAGCATTAGCTAAAATATAATACTCAATACTGTTGGCTAGTTACCATTGCTGGGGTTCAAGTGTTAAATGCTTGACTTATATCTCTGGTGATCAAATAAACAGGGTTTACAGTGAGGTTTCATGATGTTAGGGTAGAATTTGGTAATAATATGCTAATGCCATTATTGTAAAATTGTGTTGGTCGGGGCAATGTTATGAATGCCTGAATAGTGATGGAACAGTTTTAGTTTGTATGGTATAACAAAACCAAAAAATGATGTTTTAATATATAGGAGCAAGCATAAGACATAGGATTTAGCTTGAAACTTTGATGGCAGTGATGTCTCCAGGAGCATCAGCTGCTTCTGAGGGCCTAGCAGATATTTCCTTGATAAAATTCCATGAAACTTTAGGGAACTCATAGACATTCTTTTCCAATTTCTATTGGGCCTGTTTATTATTTCTTCTGCATTAACATATAATCCAAGAGCTTTCGGGGACTTTAGAGGCTGATTTACTGACTCCCCTCTACAACATCACTGACAAATAGTTATCTAGTCTCTACTTGAAGACCTGCAGTGAGGGGGAACCTGCTACCTTTTGAGGTGGCTCATTATACTTTTGTATAGCTCTAATTGTTAATAATTTATTTTCTTACATTAAGCCTAAATCTCTCTGTCTGTAACCTTCACCCATTGTTCTTAATTCTACTCACTAGGGTCAACAGAACATTCCTAATCATTATTTCATGTTACAGCCCTTTAAGTACTTGAAGACAACTGTTGTGGTTCGCAACATCTCCTTTTCTTTAGGTGAAGCATTCCTAGTCTCTTAAACCAATCTTTGTATGGTATAATCTTTAGGTTCATTGCTACCCTGTTCACCCTTGCTTTGCTGCTTTCCAGCTTATCAAAAGCTTTCTATGTGGTCTTATCAAAGAGTAGTAGTACATAGGGACTGTCATTTACCTTCCTAGACTGGTACATTTTGCTTCTCTAATTGCTATCTCTTACAACATTAACTTCTTTGGCTGCTATTTTACACTTAAGATTAATAATGAACTTGTATTCCACTAAAAGCTTTTCAGAAAAAATTCTATCTAGACACAACTTCTCCCATCTTATATTTGTGAAATTAATTTTTAAAACCCAAGTGTAAGGCTTAACATTTATCTCTGTTAAATTACATCTTATTTTATTTTGACTATTATTTTAGATTGTTGAGAGCTTTTTGGATCCTGTCTCTGTCATTCAAAATATTAGTTGGTTACACCTTTTGCTCCATGTCATTTGCAAATTGGATAAACATACAATTCTTACCTTTATACAAGTACAGTTCCCCATGACACATTTCAATAGACCTCTTTTAAAAATAGTTTTGTTGATATTTTTGTTTTTACATTATAAGCCTTTATAGATCACTCTCATTTCAGGAAGTCTTTTTTAACAAAGTAAAATTAATAATACACCGACTTCATCTGAAAGTGCATGCAACATATGACATCTCTATTTTCAAAAAAATAACAGAAATCTATTTTCTCTCCCTCCTACTCCCCATCCTATTGAAAAAAAATTTCTTGTAACAAATATGCCTAGTCAAGCAAAACAAATTCCTTTGATGTCTACATATAAATATAGATGTATATGTGTGTTCATATATATGACTTCTCTGTAATGGATAGCATGTTTCATTATCACTTCTCTGGAATCATTAATGGTAAATTGTATCAATCATAGATCTTACAACTTTAGAGTTTTTTATACTATTATTGTGTAAATTGTTCTCTGTTCATCATCATTTTATAAAAGTCCTCAAAATTGTTTTTGTAATATTGATATTATAGTATAAATTGTTCTTATTAGTTTTGGTTATTTCATTCTTTATCAGTTCATATAAATCTTTTAGTATCTTTTGGAAATCATCTATTTCCTCATTTCTTTCAGCATAGTATTTCATCACATTCATATGCCACAATTTATTCAGCCATTTTCAGTTCTTAGACATTCTCATGGACATTCCCGCTTTTTGCCACCACAAAAAGAGCTGCTATTATTATTTTGTTTCTGAAGTGCCTTTTGTTCTTTCTTTGATTCCTTTTTGGTATAGTCCTTATATGTGTCAAAGAGTAACTTTGGGTATAATTCCAAATTGGGTATAATTTAGTAACTTTTGGGTATAATCCCAAATTTTTTTGCCAGAATGGAAGCCATCTATAGGTCTACCAAAGTGCGTCATTGTGTCTGTTTTCTCATTCCAAGATGACATCAAACTATTAATGCTTATTTTTTGCTTGGGCCATTCTACTAGTCCTAATTCCACCTAGCAATATTGATATTTAGTCCATATCTCTCCATCTTTTTCAGGGATGCATGAGAGACTTTGTTAATTATTTTGCTAAAATCTACATATACTCTGTTTTAAAAAAATTCTCTGGTGTAGCAGTTTTATAACTCTTCCTTTTTCATACTTACATATTTATTTACTGTCTCCTTTCCTGGACTGTAAACTCTTAGAGAGTTCTACTTCTGCTTTATATTGTGAATGTTTGCTTCTTCTTAGAGCAATAGGTATTGTTGATGAACTTTTTACCCTTGTACCAAACCCTAGGTACATATAGAATAAATATAAAATAAATACTAGCTAGTTCACAAGATGGGACCCTAGCATTCAGGGGAATCAGAAAAATTTATGTTTAGAAGATGGCATCTGAGTTACATCTTGAAGGAGGAGAGGGATTCTACAAGGCAGAAGGTAGGGGCAATGGTGTTCCAAGGATTGGGCGGAGGACAGGTAGGAAAGAAGAGCAAGAGAAATGTGTATTACCCTTATGAATCATGGAACCTGCCAAGAAAGTAGTTTCTAACAAGTTGTAATCGTTTGGCTTAATGGACATGTTTTATTTGACATAGTTCATGCACTCTAATGGATAAAATGTAATTGTTTTAGTATGAGAACCGAAGTTATGTTTGTTGGAAACTTTTATTAAGCAAAAACATGTCTTACTGTGCTTAATGGTTACACTTTTAAGTTTTTACTTATAGAAAATTATAGCAAGTCACCACACATAGAAATGTTATATTTTTAAAATAGACATCATACATTCTTGGCCTACCATATGCACAGAGGATACTGTGCTAAGCATTGAATTATTATTAGAAAATAATAATATAAAATAATATATGGTAAAGAAAGTAAATTTAGAAACAAGTTCCATAGATTAGATTTGATATAATGTATTTGTATAGCATTTCATAGCTTATAGAGCAGTTTGATAGTTTATAAAGTGCTTTCCTTAGAACAGCCTTGTAAATTAAGTATTTTGATTTTGAGTATCCCATTTTACCTATGGGAAATAAGCCTGTATAGGTCAAGTGACTTGCCCCCAGTCCTGGAACTAGTAAGAGCTGGTATTTCAATCCAAGATTTCAGATCCAGAATCCAGTGCCCATTTCACTACAACTGTGCTATATTATTTTTCCCTTTTAACTTTAAAATAAGAGGTTTTATATCGTCTCAGGGTGTCATATGAAAACCAAGAAGGAAAACTATAGAGTGAAATTATTTTTAAGGACATGGGTATGATTTCATCTAAAATTATGAAAATATGGGATATAATAGTGATTGTGATTTAGATGAGGTATTAGCTGAAAATACAACAAACAGTTCAGTTATTGTTACCAGGCCAACAACATCCAAGGACATTTTGCAGATATGTATGTATGTTTTCTTCTTCTGTTTCTCATTTTTTCAGTTTGGATGACTGATGGCTTTCTTTTGAAAATTGTACTACACATATCCAATTTTAGAGTTAAGTTCTGTCAACATTTTTTTGGTAGAGGAACAATTTCCAAACTATTATTTTATTAAACCACAGCATGACATTTTGCAAAATAAAACAGGAAAATATTTTATATTAATAGATAATAGCTTCAAATCCATTTATAACATATATCAATTATGATTAGACTATGTGTAAATAAAGCATGATTTTCCCCTATATTACTTTCATTTGATAGAAAGGAACAGATAGGGAAGAACAGCAAGAAATAATCTTTGGTTATATTACTTTGAATGTATTTTTTCCCCATAGCCTGAACAAAATAACTTGATAGGCTAAAAACCTTTGTTAGCAAATTGGGCCCATCAGCAAAATGCTAAAATTAAGGTTGTGCCCTAATTGTTATATTTGTATTTTTACTCATTTATTAACATTTAGAAGCTAATCGCCTCTGAGGTTTTGTGTTTAATTATAAGTATCACATTTTAAGAAGCTAATTGGAAAACTGGAATACTTCCAAAGAAGGGCATCAAGATGCAAGGGGCCTAGAAACTGCCATGAAGAACTGGGGCTGATTCCCCGGAAGACATAATTATGAGGATAATGTAACTATTTTCAGTTATTTGAAAGGACTGCCATGGGAAGAACATGACTTAGTGGTAAGAATATTGACTCTGGAGTCAAGAGAACCTGGTTCAAATGCTGTCTTATTCACCTCTGTGACCTTGGGCAAGTTACTAAATCTTCCTGGGCCTCCATTTCTTTGTGAAATGAAAGGGTTGAAGTAGGAGGCATCTAAGGTCTGTGCCAATTCTATGTCTATGGTCCTGTATAGAAGGGGAATAATATTCCTCTGATATAGCCCCAGGGGGCTAATTTAAAAACAGTGGATAGAAATAATAAGAAGGCAGATTTTGGTTTAACAAAAGGAAGAATTTTCTGACAATTTATAACCTGCACCAAAATAGAGTGAATTATTTTAATGAAGTAAGGAGTTATCTATCAATGGATTTATTCAAACAGAGGTTGGACACCTATATCCAGGTATTGTGTTGAAGGGATTCCTTATCGTGTGGGTAAACTTGATTACCAACC